AGGCCTGTAGGTCTGGCTCAGAGAGAGTGTAAATGCCTCCAAAGAGAACCTCCACTCCCCAGATGGAGTTCGATAAGGTAGTTATAACTGTGGTGCAGTGGTAGGATGTCCATCTTCTGTGTGTTGAACACCTTGGGGAACTCCAGGTATTTGACAGGAATCTTAGGTGTGGTTGGGCCCACTGTTTGTGTCTCTGGGAGTCTTGGGGGTTGGAGCGCACCATAGAGTGTGGTCAAATGAGGACAGGGCTCAGGCAGCATTCTCATTGGCACTGCAGGGAGCAGAAGAGCACTGTCCTTGATTGCCAGCAAATTAGGGAGTCACAGGCAATGAGCCACAGGGCACCAACAACAACTGGTAAATGCAGGGCATGGACCACCCTGAACTACATGATTTCCTGGTGGCTGCTGCTGGTGGTAATCTCTGTGGGCACCATCTCATACATGATGGGCCCTAAAGAGAGGGGTGACCCTTCATTGGTCTCAACAAACTGAGTAGAGTCTTTGTGGGAGGTAGGAATCAGATGATTTTTGACAATTTCTTGGTTGACACAGTTACCAGATGTGCCTGAATCAACAAATGCCTCCAATCAGAGGTCAGGCATCACGGAGTGCCAGAGGGGAGGGGAAGACGAGTGATGTGCTGGTTAGGGATTCTCAAGATTCCAGCAAAGTGGCAGCAGAGTGGCTTACTGTGAGGTGAAGTGAAACACTGACCCAGCCCCGCCACTGGGATTGGGTTCTGTCATTTCCCAACCTGGAGGGGTTTTGATTCTTGGCTGAGCACCATGCTGCAAAATGCTTGGATTCCTCGCAGTACAAACAGAATCTTAGAGCCCAGCACCGGTACTTGATCGACCTGCATCACCTTGGGGTCCATTAGATTACCCAGAGTTTCAAATGACAGAGAGGTCCAGTTTGATGAGGGTCAGGGGCTGCACTTTTTTTCGTGCCCTTGTTCCGTTAGCCAGTTATCAATCCTAATGCACAGCTTGATCAGGGCCCCCTAAGGTACATGGGGGTTCTACCTGAGCGAATTCATCTTTAAAAGGATCCTTGAGTCCTTGCTGGAAGTGATTTCATTGCACGACCTCATCCCAGCAGGGATCGGCTGCCAGGCATTGAAACATGGCTGCCTATCTGACGATAGGCTGGAACCCCTGTCAGAGGGCTTGGAGTGCAGCTTCTGCAGTGCGCTCTCTGTTAGGGTAATCAAAAATACTCAAGAAGAGGGTTAGATGCCTCCAATAGTGGGAGGCCTATACCAGGGCCTCTCTGGTAAGCATGCTAATCACAAGTCCTGCTTAGGAACGGTCTGTGGGGTATGATAGCAGTCGCAGTGTGAAGAGCAGGTGACATTAATTTGAAAAAACCCAGAATTGGGACAGTCTCCAATGAAATTGTCAGATGGGGGACCTTGGGCTCTCAGGTAGCAGGTGTGAGGGTTGGGAGCTCACAGGCACCATCCTGGCGTGTATACCTGAGCCTGAAGGACTGCATTCTGTTCTCAAAGTGTGACTCTCCCTACTTCTGGTCCTTGTGGACTGTTCAAACTGTAAGCTGCCAGGGTGTGGGCGGCCTTCTTAGGGTGAAGTGGGACCTTATTTGGTGGTTGCAGTGGCAGTTTGGAATAGTGTTGAGCGTCCATCTAGGAGTCAGGTATCAGCAGAGAGTGAAGCCAGAATCAGGGTTGAGGAGCCAAGCCAAGGGTGAGAACCAGAGTCAGGAGCAGGGCTGGGAGCCAAAGACTAGACTGGAGCTGGGGTGAAAGCTGGAACAAGGGCTGGAGGCAGGAGCAGGGCACAAGCACAGCTGGGGGTGTGGTACGCACTGAGCTACTGCTCTACTTCTGCCACTTCAAGGCTCATGTAGCGGGCCGCAAGCTCTTCTGCCCAATCAGAAAGCATGGTCATTTGGAGAAGGCTCATTGTGCTCAGCTGAGCTTGCTGGGTTGCCTAGTGATGAAGCTGGGAGCCAGCTGTGCTCCTGACACTAATAACTGAGGATAAGATTTAGTCATGGTATTTTTAGTAAAAGTCATGGACAGGTCACGAGAAATAAAAAATTCACAGCCCGTGACCTCTCCATGACTTTTACTAAAAATACCCATGACTAAATCTCTGCTCCTGGGCCCCACTGCTCTGGGGGGCCCCTGCTCCAGGGGTGGGGGCTGATTGCCCCTGGTGGCCCACTACTCCGAGGCCCCAGGGGACCACTCTCCCGATGACCCCTGGGACTGCTGCTGCTCAGGTGGTCCCCGTGGCCACCCTCGGAACTGATGCTGGGTGCTCCCCGGGGCCTCTGCTCTGGCCACTCCCAGGACCACTGCTGCTGGGGCACTCCCCGGGACTGCTTCGCGGGTGCTTCCCGGGGCCAGCTGCCCAGGGACATTCCAGCAGCAGCCGGTGTGGCTGGCCCCATGGCCACTCCAGCAGCGACTGGCCGCGGAGTGCCCGAGCAGTTGGCCCCAGGGTCAGCCACACTGGCTGCTGCAGCTGTAGAATTCACGGAGGTCACGGAAAGTCACGGAATCAGTGACAGAATCGCAGCCTCACTAATAACTAACCTACCCTCCTTTTGTTCCAGGGAATCAATGCCTAAAAAAGCAGTAAATGCATATATCATTGGCAAGCCGGCATATTCAAGAACATGTGAAGTTCAGTTTTGTTCTAGAACTGTCATCTTCTGCAGCCAACTTCAAACAGTTTTTATCTAGAAGATTTAGGGCAACAACATAGATATCTATTACAAAGAATTATGGCTGAGAGACAGGCTTACAGCAAGAATCAAGGATTTGCTTAGTTAGCAGTGGGTTTTTTTTTATCCTTTTCCCAGACTAGTGCCTTAACTCATCCATTCCCTCATAATTTATTTCATTTTGGGTGTCATTCTAGTTTTTCTACCTAATTTTTTTAGAGGCAACTTATCCCTCTCATTATTTTAGTTTTGATGTAATTCTTTGAACCAACTGTGACGGGTTGGATCACAGAAACCCCTTTAGGACTGCCACCTGATGTCCCTAGACTACCTCTGAGCCCGTTTTCCCTGCCAGATTGGGACTTCAGTACCTTGCCTTGTTTGAGCCAGACATGCTTGCCTGCTGCAAACACAGATCCAAGTCTGAACCACATTCCCCACAAGCTGCAGGCTTAACTGAAAACAGCTTAAGAAGTGCTCCTGTCTCCAGCTCTCAGATGCCCAGCTCCCAATGGAGTCCAACCCCCAAATAAATCCATTTTACCCTGTATAAAGCTTATGCAGGGTAAACTCATAAATTGTTCGCCCTCTATAACACTGACAGAGAGATATGCACAGCTGTTTGCCCCCCCCCCCGGGTATTAATACTTAGTCTGGGTTAATTAATAAGTAAAAGGTGATTTTATTAAATATAAAAAGTAGGATTTAAGTGGTTCCAAGTAATAACAGACAGAACAAAATAAATTACCAAGCAAAATAAAATAAAACATGCAAGTCTAAGCCTAATACAGTAAAAACTAAATGCAGGTAAATCTCACCCTCAGAGATGTTCTAATAAGCCTCTTTTACAGACTAGACTTCCTCCTAGTCTAGGTCCAGCAATCCCTCACACCCCTGTAGTTACTGTCCTATGTTCCAGTTTCTTTCAGACATCTCCTGGGGTGGAGAGGCTATCTTTTTTGCCAGCTGAAGACCAAATGGAGTGGTTTTCAGGGGCATTTAGTCTCTCTTTTGTGGGTGGAAACCCCTCTCTCCCCCTGTGTAGAATCCAGCTACAATATGGAGTTTTGGTGTCACATGGGCAAATCACATCTCCATGCATGACTCCGTTTTCTACAGGAGTTCCCAGGAAAGCTCAGATGTGGATTGGTGTCTTATCAAGGTCCATTGTTAGCTTAAGTGTTTCTTGACTGGGCACTTACTGAGAATAGTTTTTTCTCAAGAAGCTGACCAAATGCTTCACTGAGGCTACTTAAAATCAAACAAGTACATAGCCAATATTCATAACTTCGAATACAAAAATGATACATGCATACAAATAGGATGAATATATTTAGTAGATCATAACCTTTGCAGAAATATGTTACATGGCATATCTAGCATAAAACATATTCCAGGTATGTCATATTTACACTCATAAGCATATTCCTATAAAGCATTATGGGGTGCAACGTCACACCAACGTACATTCTATCTTTTATCTCAGGTTTCCCCTGTTGTAGCATCTTAACTTTAGGGGGGCAGTGCAGTCTAGTGGATAGAACTCTAGACTGGAACTCAAGTGACTTGGACTCACTGCCTGCTGGGTGACCCCGAGCAAGTCATTTCAACTCTGTGTACCACAGTTTCCCCATCTGTAAAATAATACTTGCCTTTGTTGCAAACACTTTAAGAACTATGGATGAAAATCTAAGTATTATTATGGTTACTTCACTGCTGCATATTTTACTGAAATCCTCCGGGAGCTATAGAGTGTCAGAGTAGGGATCTGTCACAGTATGTATCTCTGCAGAAGAGATAATTACCTGCTGCCTACTCATCTCTGCAAATGAGCATGTGCAACTTCCATGGATTTCAAGGAAAACTGGGCACTTTTGATCTTTTGTTCTTGTAAGATAAACAACTGTGATAGATCTTCACTCACTAACCCACCCATTCATCTCAGTGTTGGAAGTTTTGTTAACTCTCATTTTCCTTTTTCCAATTCTAATTTGTTTGTTTCAGTAATAAAGAACTGGCAGTTCAAGGTAGTGGGGGTCCACCTGATGCCACTGGAAAGCTGGCAAACAGTATCCTGTCAGAAGTCAAAGGTGTAAAACTTAAGAGTTATAGAAGTTCCCTGTGATCTCCTTCACAAAGCATGGACCCAAGAGTATCAAATTATCACAACTCTGCATTGTTACAGAAGGGCAATTACCAGTTAGTGGTGGGAAAATGTCTAGAAATTATATAAACAGCATATTTATATTTTAAAATTATCTTGACCCTTATGGGTTAACTGAATGCAGTAACTTTGTGTTTCAGGCTTTCATGCTGCTCTGTGATCTCTTGATGATTTTTAGCCACCAGCTGATGACTGGAGGTAGAGAGGGTCTTCAACCTTTGGTGTTCAATCCAGACTCTGGGCTCCAGTCTGAACTTCTTAGCTTTGTGATGGACCATGTCTTCATTGACCAAGATGATGAGAACCAGAGCATGGGTATGTTTAGCCATCACATTTTGTACTTGTCCTCTCTCACCTGACAACACACAAGACTGTCAGGAAAAAATACAAATCTGTGCACCTAAATGTATCATATGAAGTTCTTGTTTTTGCCTCTTGCTTTCTTTGGAGATAAATGTTGGTACATGATCAGTAGTCCTGCACACCTTTACAACAGATAACAATGTTATAAAATGAAATTTCATAGAGCATTTTCATTCAGAGGATGGGGGAGAGTATAAATTGCCATGGCATACACCTGTAATAGCATTCTTCCTTCATTGTTGTAATTTTTTTTAATGCATCTATGTTCAAGACCAGATACCTTTCTGGAAGATGCACTTTAGTCAAACATAAGTTATTAGGCTCAATCCAGGGTGAAATTTAATGGCCTTTGATTTAAAGAAGGTTGGACTAGATGGTCCTTTCTTGGCTATAAACTCAATAAATCTATGAAAAAGTGGTCCCTTCCCTAAATAGTTCACAGTCTAAGTACATGGTGAGCGATAACAGGTGGTGCAAGAAGCAGCTAGCAAGGAGAGCACAAGATGAGACGATTACAATTAGTGTAATAAACAGCAGTCACAGCACATCAGAGCCTCGCCATTTAATGTTTCGCAGGCATCACAACAGAGGTGAATTTTAAGAAAGGATTTAAAGATGAAGCTGTCCTTCTTTCTTGTCTATCTATGTTCCTTTCTTCCTGTGGAAGGAACAAAGCATTTCCTTTAACTGTGAAAGAGGACAGATCAGATAGTATTGCTTTTCAGCATCCAGGTGTCATGTTCTAGTTAACAACTGTTGTTTGAACAGTGCTTTGAAGATGTAAAGTGCTATATTATAGCTAAATATTATTTACTTGTTCTACTCCTAATACCAATTTTGCTCTTCCCAACAGCTGTGCTATGTAGTATTCACTTTCAGAAAAACTTCATTAAAGTGTAGCTAATACTTCTGCCTCACAACCGTGCCTTCTGCTCTCTGTATCTCTTTTCAGATATGAAGATATCTGATCTATGTATGAAACATAAGGAGAGAGTGATCTCCTACCATAGTAAAGGAGCAGATTGTTGTGCAAAAATATCAGGAGACAGATCCTGAATTTGACAATCCTACATCTGCTGATGAAAATGTGAGGGTGACTTCTGCATCCTCTCCATCTGAAAATTCTGTTGCTTTTCATGAGTTAATGGAAGGAATGGCAACTACTCGCAAATTACCAACCACCTCAATAGCGGAGAATTCATACCCAGTCTTTGACATCCTTGGTCTTTGCTCTTCTGATAGAGTTTCACTGCCTGTGTTAGATGGTTTTCTACAACCTGCAAAATTTAATCTGGTCAAGTACAGATTCTGTTCAGGTGATGTCTAAAAAGGCAGACAAATTATACCACATGCTCCAAGACAATTTCTCATATTTCCCCACACATCCAGCCATGAAGTCTTTGGTTGTAGAGGTGGCTGTACAAAGATCTAAAAATGGACAGGTGCATTCTATTTCTTCAAATAAGTCTGGATTTACTGGGGAGAAAAGTCTCTCTTCCTCTATTTTAGGTTCAAGGGTAATAAATTACCAAGCTATAGTGACACATTACCAATATCATCTTTGGGAAAAAATGTCAGTGTTCACCAAATCTCTCCAAGATAAACAGAGAAAACTCACATATGCCATCATTATGGAGGGACATTAAGTTATGAAACCTGCCCCCGAGAGCATTGTTTGATTCTTCAGGTTCTGCAGTTAGAATTGTAACTTCTGCAATTTCCATTGGAAGGTATGTTTGGCTTAGATCTTCAGGCTTTCTCTGAAACCAACTCCAAGGTAGATGATCTCCCCTTTAGGGAAAAGGATTGTTCAGTTCCAGAACAGATGAGTTTCTGGAAAAATGAAGGAGCAGGTACAGCACTAGACTCTTGGGCATTTATCAGCAGTCCCGGAAGAGACCTGGAATATCCGTTTTCAGGTACCAACACAACAGAATTAATCATCTTCCTCTTCCTCATACATTACCCAAAGGAGACAATATTATCATCAACAATATCATCCTCAACAGTCTTCTAAGCAAAAGAGATGGTGCTTTAAATCACAAACCAAACCACAAACAGGAGGTGAACCAATTAACTTCACAATCTATTGTGCCAGGCCTTAGATCCCAAGTTTGACATAATGCCTGAGAGTTGTGATCCAATTTTAATCTAGTCTCATTCCATTCGGAGACCATCTGCATCTAACTTCTAAACATCTATTACCACAGACAAGTAATTTTAGAAATTATTCACAAGTATCCAATAGAATTCAAAATTATTCCTCCTCTCAATCCCCTCCTCCAATCCCTATCCAGGGATCCCTCTCAGAAGAACCTGTTGAGATCAGAGGTTCTGCCCTTCTTGCCCTTCTCAAGTACTCCAGCTGAGGCCTCACTAGTGCCAACGAATGTGGGACAGTTACCTCCCATGACTTACATACCACACTCCTGTTAATACACCCCAGAATGATATTAGTCTTTTTTGTAACTACATCACATTGTTGACTCATATTCAATTTGTGATCCACTAGAAACCCCAGATCCTTTTCAGCAGTACTTCCACATAGCCAGTTATTCTCCATTTTGTAATTGTGCATTTAATTTTTTCTTCCGATATGTAGTACTTTGCACTTGTCTTTATTGAATTGCACCTTGTTGAATTCAGACCAATTCTCCAATTTGTCAAGGTTGTTTTGAATTCTAATCCTGGCCTCCAAAGTGCTTACAACCCCTCCCAGCATGGTGCCATCTGAAATTTTATAAGGATACTCTCCATTCCATTATCCAAGTCATTAATAAAAATATTGAATAGTACTGGACCCAGGACTGACTCCTGCGGGTCCCACTAGATACATCTTCCCAGTTTCACAGTGAATTATTGATAACTACTCTTTGAATATGGTCCTTCAGCCAGTCATGCACCCACCTTATAATAATTTCATCTAGACCACATTTCCCTAGTTTGCTTATGAGTATGTCATGTGGGACTGAGTCAAAAGCCTTACTAAAATCAAGATATCTCACATCTAATCCTTTGTTAAGGTCACCGTTTTTTAAACTTACCTGTGGACTTTTGTCACCTGCCCCCTTTGAACCTAGGTTAAACCCCTCCTTGCTAGGTTGGCAAGCTTAGGCAGCAGTACTGCCTCCACAAAGCAACTCTGACCCTTCAAGCCTTCTCTTCTTCAGGGCGCAACTGCAACTTGAGCTGGAGGCAGAGGGAATTAGGGGAACATTGGTGGGGTCCTATTCATACCCTTGGCCCAGAGCAACCAGGGCTTGAGGGACATGCACATGACCCTGCCCATCACTACTGTTTGAAAAGGTTCTGTGCCCAAGTAGCTGGTTCAGTAGAGGCAATATAGTTAGAGAACAGGTGTTACAAAAGGTAAATGCCCCCTTTTATATACCAATTGTGTTTTTTTCATCTGGTTGAATTCACTCTACAGTGAAGTGATCACTGTTCTCAATATTTGCATCTAACGTACTTTTTTACCAAATTTGTGGAATCTCATTTATTATGTCATGGTCTGTTATTTTCACGTGTTTGATTGTTATATCTTGTTTTCATTCACAGACGGTGTGCTTATGTTGCATTTTATGTTAATGTTTCTCACAATCAAGTGACATTTCTCTTCTATTATTTGTTCCTATTTTGGAGTGCCAGGAATGTCAAATCAAAGCATCTCCTAGAGATTTTGTTGCAAAAATAATTCTGCAATGTGATTGTTATTTCTGATTTTTCATATGTGAAATGCACAGGGTCAATGCAACCAGATTAAAGAAGCATCTGCAAATTGTTCACTTGCCAAGATTGTTAACAAAAAAACAGCTTGAGTTTCACTCTTTTTGGTTTTAGTTTCTCCTGAAAGTAAGCTAGATATATTTTTGGCGAGTTTAATTTTACAAAAACTGTTGATTTTATTAAACAAAAAGAATAGGGTTTTGTGTTCCCTTAGAAAACAGCAGATGTTAATAAATATTTTCTTTACTGTATTTAGAGGGAGATGAAGAAGATGAAGCTAACAAAATAGAGGCTTTACATAAAAGAAGGAACCTTCTGGCAGCCTTTAGCAAACTTATTATCTATGATATTGTAGACATGCATGCAGCAGCAGATATCTTCAAACACTATATGAAGGTATGATTCTATATTTTTATCTTCTCCTCCTCCTAAATGAGCACAGAAATTGTAGCTGGAAAAGTCTTAAAATATTAGGCCATTCTGTTCCTCTCTCTGCCAGTGCTGTTTTCTTTCCTGTTGCATATTCTTGAGTGCTGTCTCCAGTCTGATTTTAATTGATTACTGAGATGCAAAAAGCTCTGTGATCAGGTTGCAGCAAATATATTTTTGAAATCATAGAGCCAGGTGGTTAACTTCAGCTTGTTTTTCTGCTTAATTTTCCCTAAGTGCTTCCTAATATTATATATTGTATGGACTTTTATGATAGCCTGGCTATTATGGTAGCAGAGCAATTGAGGAGCAGGAGTAGTAAATTAAAAAAATAATCCTTAAAACTAAAGAGACAAAATATGCAAATGAAGCAGTGCATATTTATGAAATAGGCCAGTTGAATCATTTCACTTTCTTCATAAGATCTCCAGATTTCGGGACCTTTAGTCATAATAAGTAAGTAGCAACTCAGAAGAGTAGCCAGAATCCAGCTTAGAGTTCTTTAAAGATTCAGACCTGGTCTACACTAGGAAACTAGGTCTGTAAAACTTTGTCGCTCAGGGATATGAAGAATCCACACTCCTGTGCGACTCTATTAAACCAGCCTAACCCCTGATGTAGACAGCATTAGGTTGACGGGAGAATTCTGGGGGGTTTTTTGCTTGTCACTTTTGGTGGACACTGTGAAAGAACTGCAACTTTAGGAGGGAGGGTGGATACTCTGACTCTTTGCTGGATGAATAACTCTGGCTTTGTAGGTGAAGATAGGCAGCTCCTTTTATTGCTGTTTAAGTTGTGTGTTTTTAAATATTTCCCGAAGTACCTAAAGCAGTGGATATGTACTGTTTATATGCTTGCTCCCAACCTAATTAACAGTCCTAGTTTACAGTCACAGGTAGGAAACATTTGTGGGTTTTCTGTGTAATACTGTCCTCTTATTTCTAGGTTTCATAGAGCCGCTCTGCTTAAAACACAGCAAACAAAAAATCCTTCAGAGACCTGTACCTCTTCCATAAAACCTTAAACTTGTTCTAAACCCGCTTTGCTCTCCCCCCCCCCCGCCCCGCTGCCCTTGAGCTCTAGCTACCACAGCTGTAGAGATCGTGAATAAAATTTTCAAAAATAAGAGGCTAAAGTACCTTAAGGTCAGTGGGGCTTCTCATTTCGATATTTTTGAAAATTCCTCTTGCAGATACTTATATATGGACTTAGGATAAAATTTTCAAAAGTGTTTGTGACTTTCCATAAATTCATAGATTCTAAAGCCGGAAGGAGCCATTGTGATCATCTAGTCCAGGGCTGGGCAAACTTTCTGGCCCAAGGGCCACATCTGGGTATGGAAATTGTATGGCGGGCCATGAATGCTCACGATCTCGCTCCCCGGCTGGAGCGCCGGAGCGGGGCAAGCCCCGGACCCCTCTCCCCAGCAAGAGCTAGAGGGCCAGATTAAAACGTCTGGAGGGCCGGATGCAGCCCCCGGGCTGTATTTTGCCCACCCTTGATTTAGTCAGACCTCCTGTAAAACAAGTCAATAAAACTTCCCCAGTATAATTCCTAGAGGAAATCTTTTAGAAAAATATCCAAGATTGATTTAAAAATTTGTCAGTGGTGGAGAATTCACCATGACCCTTGATAAATTGTTCCAAAAGTTAATTGCTTTCACTGTTAAAAATGTATGCTATATTTCCAGTTGAATTTGTCTAGCTTCAACTTCCGGCCATTGGACTGTGTTATACCTTTCTCTTCTAGACTGAAAAGCCATTATTATTTATTCCCTATGTGGGTACATACAGACTGTAATCAAGTCACCCTTTATCCTTCTCTTTGTTAACCTAAACAGAATGGAAATATTTATTGAATACTTTCGCCTTTTCGGTGGTATTATTGATAATTCTACCATTTCCATCTAGTAATGCACCAACACTATTGTCAGGATTCTTTTTGTTCCTAGTATACCTAAAAAAAGTTCTTAATGTCAGTAACTCTGCTGGCCATAAGTTTCTCTTTGTGTCCCTTTGCTTCCCTTATTGATTTTCTACCCTTTCTAGCTTCTGAATTATACTCATTACTATCAATTTTGCCTTTCTTCCATTTGTTATGATTTTGGGGGGGTTTTACAGCTTCCTTCACTTCCCCTGTAGATCAGATTGATATTTTTAACTAATATGGCATTCCGACTTTGTGGGCATCTAGTAAAGTGTTCTAAAACAATTCCCAATTGTGATTCACATTTTTCTGA